GGGTGGCTGGAGGCGCTGTTTTGGAAGGCGACCCGTAGGTATTTGTCCTTCCTCAACCGCTCGAGGTCGATACGGATCCGGCTGCTTCCGCTGTTCCCCCACACTCGTCGGTTGGGTGCGACACGGGGGGGGAGGCGGACAGTCGTAAGCACGAGGTTGTGGTCAGAGCCTTTGAGAGTGTTCCCGGCCGTATCATCATGTCACAGTTCTTGGGTACACTTCTATGTGTCATTCACTGAAAGGTGTTTGTGGGTATATGATATTGTGAACGAGCTTTATGACGAGACTACGTAGTTGGGTTCGAGCGACCAAATGCATTTTGATTTCGGATTTTGCAATCTGTGCCAATTATGTTTTTTGGAGATTCGTGTAGGGCTCGTGCCGTATCGTGGCAGTGTCGTGTGGCTCTACCTTTCTGCCACTCCGTACAACAGGAGACGGGGCATAGCCTACCCTATATGGTGGTGTAAAAACCACACCGGGTTCGCCGGCCATATAGTTGCCCTATGTCTGAGAGAACAAACACCGCAATTGCAGACATGGTATGGCGCCTTTCTCTCTGTGCTTTTTGATGAAATGTGCGAAGGGTATTTGACAAAAACCCTAACCCTAACCCTAACCCTTACCCTAACCCTAACCCTAACCCTAACCCTAACCCTAACCCTAACCCTAACCCTAACCCTAACCCTAACCCTAACCCTAACCCTAACCCTAACCCTAACCCTAACCCTAACCCTAACCCTAACCCTAACCCTAACCCTAACCCTAACCCTAACCCTAACCCTAACCCTAACCCTAACCCTAACCCTGGGACAACACACCAAGCCGAGTGATTTTGAAAGAACTATGTGTTTGGAACGATACTGCGAGCTGTTTGTTTCTCGCTGTGGTGTTAAACGAGTGTCATTTGAACGTTGCAATTTATTCCACAGCTCGCCGGCCATGCACTCTACCCTCCCTCGCAACACGCGATGAATACATCCAAGTAAGCACTCTAAATCACCTTAGCGTCAACAGCACACCGCTGGTCGCGCCATGCGGCCGCCCCCATTTTCAAGCACCAACTGACCCACAACATCCGGGAGCGTCGTTGCGGTCCTCAACGCGACGCGCGGTCAGCTTGCATGGAACGTCGCTCAGTTTCTTCATGCGCTTGGCCCGCGACCGGGTGAGAGAACGCGGAACCGGCGGCGGAGAATTTTTGCCACCTCCGCACCGGCTGCGTGGAAGGCGGGCGCCGGCTCCTCTAACTCTGTGTCTGTGTCGCCATCGGAGATGTCGACGGGAACTGTCTCTTCAAGGTGTTTGTGACGGACCCGGCTGCTTGAAATTTGCTAGGTCGATCACCATGCCGCCTGGGTTGTTGAGTTGTTTTGTGTGAGGCAAGTCTGTTGTGACGAGCATGGCGTGCGATGTGGAAACACACGTTCCGATAGAGTATAGAAGCGTGCGCGCAGCACCCGCGCATAAACAAGGATGTGCTTCCGCTTGGTGGCAGTGAGACGTGTTGAATACACAGATGGGACAATCTATGCCACCTTCACATCGGCTGCGTGGAAGGCGGACGCGGGTTCCTTCGATTCTGTGTCTGTGTCTGTGTCTGTGTCGTTGTCGGGGATGTTGACGGGAGCCGGCTCTTCACGTTCGGTGTCTGTAACCGGACCATGATTGCTTTCGTCATCGGACATCTGGCACCAGAGTTGGCTAGGTCGACGACCTTGCCGCCAGCGACAGTGTTTCCCAGCCTGGGTTTTTAACTTGAGTGTGTGCGTTTTTAGGAAAAGCCTTTTGTGATGAGCAACGCGTGCTGTGTGGAAACGCACGTTCCAACAGAGAATAAAAGCGTGCGCGCAGCACCCGCGCAAAAACACGAAAACGTTCTTCCGCTTGCTGGCAGCGACAAGTGTTGACTACACAGGCGGATAATCTCTGCCACCTCTGCATCGGCTGCGTGGGAGGCGGGCGCAGGTTCCTCCAATTGTGTGTCTGTGTCATGTCGGGTACAACGGGAGCCGGTTCTTCGAGTTCGGTGTCTGTGACCGGGCCGTGATTGCATGGAGTTGGTTCGGTAAATGACCTCACCGCCAGCGATAGTGCTTCCCATCTGCTTGTATGAGAATGAGTTACTTGTACAGGACGTGTGTGGATTTTCGCTGTTGGGTGTCTGCTGTTGCACTCAGACAAGGTATCACTTCCACCGTCAGAGAGGCGGATCAGCGCTGGCTCCCAAGCCCACACTTCGATCGTTCCAAGGAAAACCACAGCGCGCAAAACACACGCGAATACAACGAATTGTTTTCCGTTTTACCGCCAGAACCATAGCTTGCGCGGAGTATTGCATGTTTTTAATTGTGGCAATAAAAGTGTATTCTCGCGTAAATACGTCACAATCTCTCGACACACGTGCTTCCTTGTGAGCGGAAAGCCATGGGGCCGATGGAACAAGCCAGACCAATCTGCTGATGTATTCTTTGTTTTCAACGCACAAATTCCACACACACACACTGTCAGTCACGATGGATGAAGATGAAAGAGGGATGAATCTTCCATTCCAGGAACAATACAACTGACCAAGCAATTCCACAGCAAAGTGTTTGAACGAGACAGCACGTGTGCGGCGCTACGTGGTGTGGCACACCTGTAGGAGCACATGCAGTTGGATGTATCAGCAGCAGAAAAGGCGATAGACTTCCTTTCCCCGCCTTCATGACAATCCTAATAGCCTTGTTTGTGTTTTTCTGGATTTTAGAGCGGGAAATCACGAGGCGCACAAAATAGGAGACTATACACAGAAGAGCAGAACATGGAACGATGTGCGAGGTTAGGTTTCATGAGGGGGTTCGTATGGGATGACATGGGAGACCGGGGGGACGAGACTATCTACATGACTCTCGCATGGATTATGGGCATGGCACTTACAATCGAGAGTGTCTCGAGGTGAGAGAGCGCCGGCAGGATTTGTTCTGTATGGAGCAATGCAAGACACGCATATCGTTCGATCTGATGCACGCACACACGTGCAGCATCCACGTGCACCAAGCCGAAGCTTTCCGCACCGTAAAGTGCTACACGCGTGGTGCATGAAATCCAAACCGTACGCAACTGGAACCTCGCCTACTTTCGACACACACAAAGGTCTCCTGCCCGTGAAGAAAAGCCTCCGTACTGATCAACACATGGATCTAGCAAAATCCAAGAAACAAAGCACGCGACACAGCAGTGCAGACAAAGAGCACGGGTGAAGAGCCCAAAGGGTACATTATTTCACTGGTCTGTGATGGGAGACCACAAGTGAAAGGGCGTGGGGAAAACATTGGGCAAAAGGTCGCAAGCACTGTAAAAGTATATCGAAATGGGCGCGGCGATGTGGGATATGAGGAACGGGCGCCCGCGCGACTGGTGTTGGGGGGGATCGACATTATCTACACTATTCAAATGATATTGAACGCATCTGGGTGAACCATGCGTACGAGAGGTTCTCGAGGAGGCAAAGAGTGAGCGGATTTTGTTGCAAACTTTGATTGATAAAACAGCGCACGCACGCCCGTGCAACGCGCAAGCCAAACCTGAAAACAGGCGACGGCGAT